CATTTTAAATACTATAGTTTTATAGTTTACATTGACTAATTTTTTGAGCCGTAAACTATACCATCATTATTTCTTATCATATATTTATCGTTTTAGATTTGTTTTAGGCTAATATATATATATATATATATGAAATATGCGTAAAATAATTTATTGACAGATTAATTTTTATATTAATATTATATATATATTAATTATTTATATTTTCAGTTTAAAGGAATATAAATTTATATTTATGAAAATAAAGTAGGTTATTATAATTTAGGGAACACCGATAAAAGCGTTATTATCGTTATATATGGTCTTTACTAATTATATTATTGTTTTAATTATTTCTACATCTTTATAAATAATGAATATTTTTTTAAAAAAACTATTAAAACTGAGACCTAGAATATACATATAATTACTTGTATTATGATGTCAGGATAAATATTTATATTATGATTAATTACAAACTATATATTTGAAATTATGTGGTGAATGGATTGCCTATATGTTAGAAATATTTTGTAAACATATTAGATTGTCTTCTAAAGAAAATACATAGTATTTTAAATAAAATATTAATTGGTTAGAGTAGAAAATTATTAATTACTTTGATTAAAATATGTAATTGTTAGCGAGTTTGAATTATTAATTAGTTAGAATAGCGAATTTGGTAAGATATATGTTTGTTTCAAATTTAAAAAAAATTAAGGATAAAATCTAAAAATAGTTAACATCTTAATGACATAATCTGTAATAAAACCACATGAAAATAAGATTAATAAATATTTGAATAACTATTATGATAAATATAATTAATGAAGTAGTTAGAAATAATTTAAAAATATATATATATAATCTGTAGCAAATCACTTAAGAATATGTAACTTTTGTACCCAAAACAAAATGCTATAACGTCATGGAAGCATGTTCAAGACTAAGGTTTCATGGCATTCTCCTAAACTTTCTGTAAGAAATATAGTGATATAGTTTACTTGTGTGTATTCAAACCTCTGATTCAGAAACAGATTTGCTCATCATTCATTTCGCCTAACGGCGATGTGTACGTATGTTCTGAGATTTAGGGATCATAACATTTTAAGATAAATTTTACAAAAAAAAAGAAATTATTATTGAAGACAGTACAACTTACATAAATTAATTAGGTTTCTAAACAAACCCTTGCAGATTTTTTTTCTCCTTGCTACTGTTCATCTCCCTCTCTCTTCGAAGACGTCTGCATCTCCAATGATACTCTATAATTTTCACTCTAAAATAGTGCAACTCTATTATAGAGTTAGATTTGCTCCAATGGTTTACTCTATAATAGAGTTACACTATAATAGAATGAAATATAGAGGGATGTTGCTTTTTTGCTCCAAATATAGAGTGAAAAAGCAACATTTCTCTATATCCCACTCTATTATAGTGTTAACTCTATTATAGAGTAAACCATTGGAACAAATCCAACTCTATTATAAAGTTACACTATTTTAGAGTGAAATATAGAGAAAATTATAGAGCACCATTGGAGATGGTCTTAGATCTGGTTGTGCCTCCGCCTCCGGCGGCGCGTGCTAGCGTCGGAGGGTTCCATTTCTCCCTTAAATCACTCGTTTTCTTATTTGCTTCGCCGTTGTACTCTTCTTGGCTTCGTCTTGTTTGTTGCTCTGCCTCTGGACTCTTGCCGGTGACGTCTTCGCTGCAGAGAAGCTCCGGCTTCGGCATAGCTGTGCTGGGTGGTGGAGTCTCGACACGGAGTTTGAGAGCTTGCGTCCGGTGGAGTCGGCTTTTAGGGTTTGATGGAGAGTCCCTTAAGCTCTTTGTAGGTGCAGTGGCGCGTTGAGGAGGATGATTGACTCGCCGGCTTGCTATGAACTGTATTTTGGTTTCAGAGAGTGGTGAGTGGTGTGGGGCTCTGGGTCCTCGACTTTTCCTTGGTGTCTCGGGAAGACGTGCCCGGTTATCTCTGTACCGTCGGTGCCTCGGAGGATCCTTTTATCTCGAGGCCGTACTTAGTCTCGTCTCCAATGTGTGTTGGTGGTCAAGGTGTTTGGTGCGGGTAACGTTATGGTGGCGTAATGGCGGAGGCGTCGTCTATGGCCTCTTCGTCGCGTTATTGTGATGCTCCGCTTGATCTCTCTCCCTCTTCGCGACCTCTCGATCTCAGCTAACCAGAGAGCTTTGTCGATGAAGCTTATCTTTGGTTTATGCTCCTGTTCTTTAGTTACTGATTGGAGTCGTGCCACCGTCTCTTCGTGTAACAGCTCAAGCTCACCCGGTTCCGGTTCTCAGAATGGGTGATTGTCAAGGTGGTTGGAGATTCTTGTGGTCAGCAGAGTCCTTCCTTCCTTGGTGGCGCAATCGGTTCTTCGACACATCCCAGCTCCGCGGGTCTATGGTGCTCGCTGAGGTGTCGTTTAACTAATGCTTTTGCAGGTTGGAGTATTGCTGGTTCGTTTGGTGGCTTCCGTTCCATGCCCGATTTCTTGCTTTTGCTCGTGGTTTTGAGGTCTTCTCGGGGCTTGATGCTCTCGAGCTTTTAAGCGTGTGGAAGTGTATAAGCGGTTCGAGACCAGTTTTCATCTCGGTTTGGTCTCTTAACCCTCTTCTTCATTGCTTGTGTGGTAATTGGCGGTGACGGTTATTAGTCTCGAGAAGTTCTTTGAGAGTTAGCTACTACAAAGACGTCATGGGAATTCTCGGCATCCGAGGCAACAAGGAGAACCTCACGTTCCCGTGGTCAACGTCGATGGAAGAGAACAACTCTTAATTCCTAAAAATTTTAAAATCAACTTAGCGGAATGTACCGGCCGGTTTAGTGGGCGGGCGAAGCTCGGCTGTAATACATTGATGTAGGAACTTTTGTTCTGATCGAACTTGTAACCCGAACTATATGCCCGTTTATGGGAAGTTTTAATATGATTTAAAAAAATAAAAAAATAAAAATAAAAAAAACTTACATAAATTAACTGTTTAAGATATGGAGAACAAAACGAATATTCATAAGGTTTTGTGCATTACCGGTTCTGGAATGTGGTTTAGCGATTCCGGTTTAGCCACATATCCCATGAGCTTTATTAATTTGCTACACTTCAAAAAGGTCAATCGGTAAGAGAACAGGTTAGTCCATGTCATCCGATAGAGATGTTGCCTTAATCTCTCGATCTAGGTGCAACCTCCACGAATCTGAATCATGAACTTCTATTTCTCACCAATTGACAATCTCTTATAATATGTTACTATTTAAATAACCTTGATAAACATGATAATTAACCGATGTGGGAATATAAAATAGACTATACGCCTCAAATCTCTATAATATTATTTGAGAAGTCAGTTTCCTACGTGTCGCGCTCACATTAACTCTCGCGATGGTTGATTACTTAGATATCCTTAATGAATTGTTAGATTTTAAGTCTATTATTAATTTTTTATTTAGTTTTTTTAAAAAAATTTCCAAATAACATATATAATAAAAAGGAAATATTTCTAAAATTTTAAAAAAGATTTAAAAACGAAAATATATGTATATAATATGATTTTATTAAAAAGGAAAGTTTACAAAATAGTAATATATGCCATTAATATAAATTTTTAAATAACATATAATATATTTCAAAATAATAAAAATATATATGTTCATTAACATCCAAAATTTATCAGTTACACTTTATTTACTAATATTTTTTAGAAATCAACATATAATTTGATAAATATTATGAAAATACTTGTATATTTAAGCGATAAATAAAACTAATTTGATTTGACTTAACTAAAATAAGGAATAAATAAATATTATGAAAATACATGTATATTTAAGCGATAAACATAACTAATTTGATTGGACTTAACTAAAATAAAAAGTAATTATACTTCAATTTTAACTCAATATACTCACAACATGAATGACTCGGCTAATCTAATTTATATCCAAAATTAAACATCTAACTACAATAAGAACATATAATTTTATAGTAATAATAATCTATTTAATTTTATACATATAAATTAGAGGTGACTCAAAGCATATTAAAAAGAAAAAGAAAATATTAACCAATTACAATTTATTCTTTTGTACAATTTATATATATGGATGAGACTTCAAAAATATTATCATTATATTCATTTATGTAATTTTGAATCAAACACTTCAGCTTATTATTTATTTTAGTTTAAGTACAATATGTATATATATATATATTAAGTTATATATAATTTAACTATAATATATTTACATATCTAAGAAAATATTTACATATCTAAGACAATAACCAACCGAAATGAAAATAAGAAAATTAATCAAAGTTTTATTTATATTTACAATAAAAAATATTATAGTTGAATTCAAAAATAATATTATCCAATATAGCAAATTGATAACCAAACCAACTATTGATCCAAAAAATAATAAAACCGATAATAATATATCCAAAGTCATATGTATAATTAGAATAATATAATATTTATTAATATAAATTATACATAAAAATTGATACAAAAATAAAACTAAATATCAATCAATTATTATAAAATTTTACTTTTATGAATATTTATACCCGTGCATAAGCACGAGATAATCACCTAGATAGACTATATGCGTCAAAGTAAACATGATAATTAACAGATGAGGGATTATCCCACGGTTCAAAACATCCTTTTCATTAGACTATATTGTACGCGTCAAATTATCCTTTTCTAATTGAAGAGGATGAGATTATCTGATTATAAACTATATTATTATGGTTCATTTATAAATGAAAAGGTATCTAAATGAAAAGGAAAGAAATTTGCAATTAATAAATTAGGATTAGGAAAACGAAATATTGGACTGAAAAAGGAAACGTTAGATTTTGTTGATTTTATCTTTTCTTCTCTATAAATATTATCTAAGTTTTTTTTTTTTGGTAAAAATCAACCCTAAGTTAAAACTAGGACTCGTTTTCTTCGATCTGCTCCGAGAAATTCGTGCGAGCAGTGAAACTCGCCGCCAGGGAAAAGAAAAAAAAAACATGGTGAAACAGAGGCTCAACGAGTTACCAGATGAACTGATCGTGACGATACTCTCAATGCTTCCGACGTTTAAAGAAAGCGTCGCAACACGTCTCATATCAAAACGGTACGAGGATCCCTGGAAACTTGCGCCGGACGTCACACTTGAAGATGATGACGAGGAGAGTGTCATGACGTTTCTCTATGGATCTTTGTTGTCAAAAGATTCTCCAATCCTAGACAAGTTGCATCTCAAGCTTACCAAGAACCATTCTGCTTCAGCAATAGACTTTTGGGTTCAAACCGCGGTTAACCGAAACGTGAGAAAGCTGAGATTCGACTTGTTTGGTGGAACCCTAGAACTGCCCAATTGTTTGAGTACATGCACAACCCTAAAATCGTTGATACTACGTGAAGTAAGTATCAAGGTTGTTCCAGACCGGTTTAGTTTGCCATCTCTCAAAAGTCTACACCTTTTCTCGGTTAATTTCTCGAACTACCAATCTGTTCCATCTCTTTTAAAAACCTGCCCCCATCTTGAATATTTGGTTATAAACCAAACCAGTTATGTTACATATGATGGTGAGTCTGCTCCCCTTTGGTTCTACTTATCATCACTCAAAAGTCTACACCTTTGCTCGGTTATATTCTCTGGCAGTCATTCTCTTACACGTCTTTTACGAAGTTGTCGGGTTCTTAAATCTTTGGTTATAAACCAAACCAAATGTGACTACGAGATGTTCGAGGTTGTTTTTCCACCTTGGTCTGGTCTGTCAACAATCAAAACTCTACACCTTTCTTCGGTCAACTTCTCGAGTGATGAATCTGTTGAAAAGCTTTTAGAAAGTTGTAAGGCTCTTGAAGACTTGGTCATAACCCGAACCAAAGATGACAATGTGTCGTTATTTAATATCACTGTGCCTACTCTCAAGAGCTTATCTATCAATAACGTGAAAGTGAAAGGGGATGATGCTACTGGGTTTGTAATAAATGCTCCTGCTTTAGAGAGATTGAACATTAAGGATACAGTCAGTGACTATCTAATGTTTTATCATATGCCCGAGGTGACCACGGCCAGTATTGAGGTGGTTTGTGACCAATCTGAGAATCTTGTAGGATCTCTTACCTTCATCCAACATCTGTCTCTCTGCTCTCCAATTTCAACTCCATATATTAGTGGGGCTGTCTTCTTCTTTCTTGAACATCTAGAGCTATGTACATGTTCTGCTATTTGGGCGAATCTACTTGGCTCTATACTCAATGACGCTCCAAGACTTCAATCTATCAAGCTTATGTCGAAATGTAGTGGTCGTTTCAAGCGTCCAATGGAACTCTGGACCACACCAACAGTTGTTCCGGAATGTTTACTGAAGCATCTTGAGATGTTTGAATGGAGAGAATATGATGGCACAGAGCAAGAGAGGAAAGTGGCTGCCTACATACTAGGAAACGCTACTTGTCTAAAGATGGCGACATTCTCAACAAGTTGTAGAGACAAGTACACAGTGTTGCAGAAAATGTCCAGGGTTTCAGAGATATGCCGGTTAGAGTTTGAGTAAGCTCTTAGGTTAGAGTGTGTCTCTAGAGTACAAGAGAGGTTCTTAACTTCCTTCTTCCTTGTTCCCTTACTCGTATTAGATAGTGTCTCTCTGAAAGACTAGAAGTTTTCTTTTGTTATACATTCCTGAAATACGAAGACAATATCACATTTATGTAAAACACTCTCAAAACATAAGTATGTACAATTATAAAGGTCTCCACGTATTGTATTAGGATAGTAGCAACTCTTTCGATGCTCCACAGATCAGGTCAAAAACCTCAAGCCAGAACTCGTTTAGATATGGTAATCAAATTTTTTAAATTAATTTTTAAATTTTTTTTAGGTTAAATAGACAAGAGTTCTTTCATCTCTCAAGGAGCTTTACGAGAGGACTCACAAGAACAAGGCTGAATAATTTGTAGATCCTCAGTCTGAGAATGAGGTTATTTCTCGGGTTAAGGAGCGTCAAACCCACCTGAGTCAGCAGACTCCCGATGGAACATCCGTCGTATTATCCGCACCTGACATGGATCAGATTTTTGAGGAGGTAAGTTTCTTTTCCTAGTATTATTATTCATTTATTTATTTTTTTTCATTTATTATAACATTAATCTTTTATTTATAGGTCGTTTCTAAGATAAAGGGACGTATTATGGGGATTGATTCCGTTAACGATGTCCCAAGAGCAAAATCGTCTTATGCTCAGGAATGGGACAATGAAACTGCTCAGCTGCGTTCGGAGTTGGAGGCGACTCGTTTGGATTTGAGCACAATGCAAGCTCAAATGGGTTCTCTCGAAGGTTTTCTGGACATTTTGGCGGCTGTAAATCCGCAATTAGAGATGATGTTGCGTGCCATGCAGGAACAACTAGGGATTCCACACCCATCGCCACAGCCACAGCCAACCCGCCAGGAGGAGGAGGACGAGGTAGAGAGGAGGAGTGAAGACTTCGTCCGTCAGTTTCACGAGCAACATCCATAGTTTTTTTTTCATTTTATTGTATTAATAATATTAAACTTAAATATTTATGCATATATTACTTTCTTCTATTATTTTAATTTTTAATTTTTAAGTTCTTAAAAATAATTTATATATTTTAATTATTATTTATAATTTAGGAAAAATAAGGTTTTTAAGTAAATTTCTTGTAAAGCTACAAGAATATTACGAGGAAATATTCACGTGGCCTTAACGAGAAAAAGCTATACGAAGATCTTACGAGGAATGGTTATGTGGCTTTAACGAAAAATCATTACGAGGGTTTTACGAGGAAAACCTTACGTGATTTTAACGAAGAAACCTTTACAAAACTTTTACAAGGAAATTCTTTAGACGACTTTACGAGGAAACATTTCCTCGTAAGGTAACGAGGAAAGGACGAGGAAAGTTGTGTTACGAGAAACATGTCACGACGAAATAATTTTCCTCGTAAACCCCCTTTTACGAAGAAATAACTAGAAAAATCTGTATTAGCTTTATATGTGTTTTCTTGTAGTGTTCTCAATAGTATCGATTCTTTGATGATTGTTGACCATTAATTTTCTTCATTTTTCAATTACCTAATAACACATAGCAAAGACTAAAGAGTCATAACACAGAGTAACCACCATGTCACAAAACGAAAACTAACAATATGAAAACCACCTAACTAGTAACATATGAAGAACATCATAATGGTTGCTCAATATCAAGACGTATATGTTTAAAATATTGTTTCATCTCAGGAAACAGGATCATGCATATATATGATAAAATCTCTTTTATTTTATTTTTAATAATAATCTTTCGAGACATTACACACCATGTAACGTATCATATCATATACCAAATGCAATAGCAGTCCTAGGTACAAGCCATAGAATCATGTGCTTCCGGCCATTTCTAATATATCTATCATTTTAGCTTTCAATTTTGGAAAATCTCCCCTAGCCAAGTTGGTTTGTGTGGAGATTGAGTGAGTTGTAGGTATAGGTTCGATTCTCCTTAGATACTTTTTTATATTTATTTCTGATTATTAACTTATAGGCTCAAAATATATTGTTGGCTTCAAACCCTTCGGGCACCATCAACCCAAAACCCCAACTAGGGATGTTTATTATTTTTTTTAATAATTTTAAATTGTAAAAGTGATTTAAGATGCAACGCTAAGCACTCCGAACATTTTCGTGCTCCAATGAGAGACTTTTATTTTGGGGTTCTTAAAAATTATTATTTTTTCAAAGATACAATTATTTATTAAATAAAACATAAAAAAGAACATTTAAACATATATTCTAAAATAAACATAGACTTTTTCTTTTTCATCTTTGGATCTCATTTTGGTTATTTAAAAAATATGATGTTAGTTATGTCATTTTCATATTTGGGTGTTATTTTGGTCATAAATTGTAAAAGTGATTTAAGATGCAACGCTAAGCACCCTGAACATTTTCATGCTCCAATGGGAGACTTTTATTTTGGGGTTCTTAAAAAAATATTTTTTTTTAAAGATACAATTTATTTATTAAATAAAACATAAAAAGAACATTTAAACATAGATTCTAAAATAAACATAAGACTTTTTCTTTTTCATCTTTGGATCTCATTTTTGTTATTAAAAAAATATGATGTTAGTTATGTCATTTTCATATTTGGGTGTTATTTTGGTCAGAAAAATAGTGTTTCAGAAAGAAAAAAATGAACAAAAACAAAAGATTTTTTTTTCTTTTCCATCTTTGGGTGTCATTTTAGTTATTTCAAAAAAAATGGTGCAGATTAGATCATTTTCATATTTGGGTGTCATTTTAGTCATAAAAACAGTATTTCAAAAAAAGAAAGTATAAAAACAAAAGATTTTTTTTTCCATCTTTGGATGTTATTTTGATCATTTTCAAAAAAATAATAATTGGTGCTAGTTAAGTTATTTTAATATTTGGATATCATTTTGGTCATATAAAATGTTTCAGAAAAAAAGTGTTTGAAAAAAGAAGAAATGTTTGAGAAAAGAAAACTGCTCAATGGCAGCGCGCCATGTGTCTTTAAACACAAGTGCTTATGGTGTTTGTTTAAGCACTGATGTTTTCTCTTTTTTTTTTTATTTTTTTTTTAAATTTGTTAAGCACCCGGGAAGATATCCCCCGTTAATGCTGCTCTTAGTTTCTCTGAGCCGGACCTGACCAAATGCAGAAGAATAGAAAATGAGTTATTCAAAGTAGTTATCACACTATGTAATCTTTCGATATGCTTCGTAAGCTCATGGAATACATGATTTGCTGCAAGGAAAATAGCAGACTGGCTACCACTAAACAAATCCATTGTTGCTTCATGTTTGACTACAAGATCTTCGAGCAATATTTTCAGCCACTTCAGCTCTTTTAACGTATCAGACAATGACATTGCCCAGTATTGAGCTTCAGCTGGCGAATGTGATACCGTATCATGCTTCTTTGTCTTCCATGCAGCTGGCGAATTGCTTAGCAAAGTGAACGCCATGTAAGTATTAAAACTCATATGCAAACATATTTCTAAACTTAGTCGGCCCTTCATAATTTGCTGGCTTCGTTTATGGTCTTTCCTCACATTCATATTAGTTCCATTCTCCTGTTTGATCATAAGTAGTCACTTCAGGGACATATTGGCTCTCCAAAGAATGATTTAGCAAAGGCTCATATTGGTTCTCCAAAGTTGACAAAACATAGGACATAGCTGCGATCATAAACTCCTTAGATGGTCATGGCAATCTATACTTGAACTTTACCATCATACTATTTTTATGAGGAATTTAGAGATCAGTAAAGGTAGCAACAAGCACCCATGGCCTAATGGATAAGGCGCTTGACTTCTAATCAAGCGATTGTGGGTTCGAGTTCCACTGGGTGTGTGAAAGTTTGGGTTAAAATCAATTTTGCTCCTTTCTGACAATTTGTGGTTCTTAAATAAATCTTGCTATCATTTTGAGGAATAGCTGGACCGAACCACAAACATTTTTATAAAAACATGAAACAACGAATGTAAGAACATTAATGTAAGTCATTGTGGAAACTGTTATGTGCATAACGGTGACTTGATCTCCAACCATCATCCTTTCCTGCATACTCTCTTCTACTATATGCTGGCTTCTAACATAGTTTTCATAATAGCGCAGGACTTGCTAGGAAATAGGATGTCACATATTACTATTGCCCTCACTGTAATGCTCTGAACAAACCGAAGCATTCAGACGAAAATCCACTCAATTCCTCCTGTTTCCACTTTACTGTTCATTGACTGAAACAAGTGGAGTGGTCAATAGCAGCAGCTCTTCTAATGAACGCGGGAATAGCCCCACTCCAAAATAAAGGAGGAAGCTGCCTGCAACTTAGCTGAGTTAGTAATTAGGCTTTCGTGGGCTTGTGTTACAGTGAAGATGGAAAAGTTACTGGAATTGTCATATTTAACCCCACCAAAACCGCGTAACTTTCTTGCCATGGATTACAGTTTTGATTAAGCAACGCGGTTTTGGTGGGGGTAAATATGACAATCCCGTATCTGAAACGGTGACTCTTATCTCTGTATTCACACTTCAATTTTGACCATATTCGATATTAATTACT